AAATTTCCTCTTCAAATGAATCTGGATAAAACCTATCCCCTATAGGCGCTAAACTAGTAATAGCAGCAATATCCCATAAAGTGGGACACATAAAGTTGCATGGAAATTCGAAAGCTCGAGTCTCTCTATTCCAAAAGAATATGGCAGAAAGGAGCATTTGAGGATCAAAAGCATGCAAGTCAAACTTAGAGAGTTGAATGAACTCAGATATACCAGCACCGACCCACACAGAATGCATTGAGTTCTCTATGCATTCTAACCATTGCAAGTGCCTATCTTTTGTGGGTTGGAACGCTCTAAAAAATTTTGTGGTATCACCAAACAAGTTCAGGTCTATGGTAGGAGAATAAATGAATGGCAAGGTAAAGAATCCTCAAGAAGCAATGTATTGCCAAATTTCTTCTTATTCTGACCTATGAAAGGACCCAGAAAAGCATGGGTAGTACCATCTTGAAGAGAGAAAGGAAGAAGTACCTGAGAGTTGAAAATCTTGAGGCTAGCCCTCCATGCCTAGGATGGGGACGAAGGCCTCATCACCATCGTTCACAGTACAAATCGTAGCATTGGTCATGAGCAAAGGAAGGGATTGTGTAGACGAAGTGGAAGCCAATATAGGGGAAAGAACTGAAGCAGTAGCCGAGGTAGAAGCAGCGGAGGAAGCCATGACGCAAGAAAGCAAAGAAAATAAGAACGAGGAAGAATGAAGAAGAAAGAAACTGGTGCACAAAAGGAAAACGGTAAAAGTGATTTACCCTAGGTGAAAACCTTTAAATAGGTTAAGTGGCCTGAATATGAATTGGGCTTACATGAAAAATTGTCATATCAGTTGCCAAAGCGTTTTAAATTAAACGGGCAGAAACCTAGGAAAACGTAAGCATGCACCGTCAACATTCATGATAGAAGCAATAAATTTCAAATAAAATGGTAACCGCATTTAATTGATATTTAGAATAGGTTTCCATCGAAAGGGTACAAGGAACTCCAAGAGTCATCGAAATAGAACAAGGAACATCAGGAGAGATTAAAAGGAAGATTCTCGAAAGAAGAATGATAAAAGCACAAGTAGGAATTGAGTCCTCCCTCACTCAAGTACACTCCTCAAGACTAAATTCCTAGGGGGGCATTTGTTGGACCAATCGAAACAAAGCCTTTCGAAATCAACTCGAAAGTATCAAAAAGAGATCTCAGGCTAAAGGAATTTGGGTGTTCGATGGTGGATCGAACATAGTAGATAGTGCTTGAGCAGTTGAGGGACAGTTACATCAAGGAGGTTATCAGTTAGTCGAAGAAATAAAAAACGTGGGATGAACGGTTACAAGAAGTTACATTTAAGCCACGTAATTGGCGTAATGGACAGCGGTTACACACCCATGACATACTGGCACAAAATTTAACCGCTCTCGACTAACTCTATAAATAGGAGGCACATATCACTTCACAAAAGGTCAAAAATTTCATACTTGCACTTTTGTAAGCACTTTCTGCCTGCGCATATGGCTTCCGTGCATGGGATTGCTGTTGGGTATGATTTCTTGGCCACATTTTGCTTTTTGTTCGTAGAATTAGTGTAGTTTAGTATAATCCCATAGTTCGTAGTTTGTTGTTCTTAAAATCATCATTTTGTAACTTGACAATTATGTGAATTGGATCATGATTTGTATTTCTAATATATATATTGTTCACTCCATTCATTTAAATGTTTCTATGGCCAGAAATTGTTATTTTGTAGTTGTATATGAAACTCTGGAAACCAATGCATATTAGTTACTCTGTTTCATCTATTTTCGTTCTTAAGAGAGTTTAATTATAAAATATTTAAATTGAAACGATTGTGTGCTAGTTCAAATAAAAAGAATTCATAAATCAATTCTACCACAAACAGTATGAGAATTTATGATTGAATAATAGTGTAAAAATTATTTATATTATTAGTGTATAAACTATTTTCTCTTTTTGAAAACCAAAAATTCATCTCTCAATATTTCTATTAACTACTGAAAGAAGATTTTTTTCCCTTACCGATACTTCTCCATAGAAAATAATGTTTATGCTATTACCAAATACTAAATTTGAACAATTTTTTTTATAAAGACTTAAATTTTGGTTTCACATTGTAATTAAGAGACTAACTACTTCCGCGGTAATTAACCTGTTCACAATGAAAGAAAAGTTTAGTTTATTTCTATTTCTATACATCTAAGTTTGAATTTATCCATAAGTAAAGTAACTTTTATGGTAGCCCATAAAAAAAAAAAGTTGATAAAGTGAAGTGATTAAATGAGTATATTTAGACTCATGCAAAATCTGGTGGCCAAATCTGTGGGTAAATAATGAAGTTTTTATATTTTTATTAATTATGAAACACGTCCTAACTTTTATATGTTCTAAATTGATAGAGAATGAAAATTTTAAAATTTTTATAAAATGTTAATTCTACTTTTCATTTTAATATTAAAAAAAAATATGAGCATGTACATTTTTTGTTAGAATAATAAAAAAAGAATTTGATAAATAAATATTTTATTATTTTTTTAAAATTATCTAATAGTCAATTATCAATTATTATTAATATTAGTGTATAAATTTTGTTATAGATTAGAATCGAACTTCTTCCAACTTGTATCTTAACTTCTTCCTTTTGATTATCAGGCTAATCCATACTTTTAATTTGATTGCAATGTGTAGTGCAATGATATGCTTTTCTTGAAGAAAAAAACAATTTTTTTAATAAAATAATATCTTCACATCTTCCATAACAATTTAATGATAAGAAATAATTAAACATAAAATTGATATATAATAATTATTTAAAAACAATAATAAAATCAACTGAAATAATTAGTTATACTGAATTATGTGATATACTGAATTATGTGATTTTGTTATAAGTATCTTATATGTAATAATACTAATACTAATAATAATAATAATAATAATAATAATAATAATAATATTATTATTATTATTATTATTATTATTATTATTATTATTATTATTATTATGTGAGAGTAAATATTAAATGAAAATAAGTTTATTTAAAAGGTTAAACTATTTTTTTAATCTATATAATTTCAATTTCAATTGCTTTATTTTTTAACTTTTATAATTTAAAATAATTTTTTAGTCTTTATATTCATATTTTTCAATCATTTTTAATCTCTAAGTTTAAGATATAAATGTAATTCTTTATATTTGTAATATTTTAATCTTTATTGTTATTTTTTTTTTTATAAAATTGTTTCTTTTGTATTGACATGACAGAGACATTAATTTAATTTTGTATGTTTTTATATCAACTTTATTTTGTTACAATACTCTAAATAAGGTTTTTTGTGTTTCGTACATTTTGTATACCTTCACATATGATGTTTATTGTTGAAATGCATTTTTTTTTATTATCACAAAATTAAAAATTTATATTATGTCAATATAAAATACATAATGTTACTAAAAAAATTAACAATGGACACTTGAGGATTAAAAAATTTATAAGTATAAGGATTAAAATAATTTATCTAAAACTACATGAATTAAAAATATTTTAACCTATTTAAAAATATATAAAAAAAAATACTAAAATCACTCTTATCATCTTGTTATTGCGTTAAGTCTACTTGCACTAATTAAAATGTCTCCACTTAAGTCCATATCTGCCGGATGTCTGTTTCCGACCACAGATAATAAAACAGCACATTGACTTCAGCTTTCCCTTCTGCACTTATTAAAAACCACAATGTCCCTTTTTAAACCTATCGTTGACATTAATTATTATTACAATTACAATTTGCCTTCCTATGCCCGTTAAAAACTAAATAAAACTTATAGAAATTAATAATTTAACATTTGTTTTAAAAAAAATATTAGTCTCAATTGTTTTTCGACATCACTCCTAAATTATTGAGTATATTATATGTGAGGCTTATCGTACAAAATATGGATAAATATTAAAACATACGTAAGATTCACTCAATAATAAACACATACTTGGATAAGAGAATTCAAAAAATAAAACACTCT